AAAAAAAAAAAATTATTCCACAATGTCAACATAAGTCAAAACATCATATTATAGCCCATAAGCATATATAATTATTTATGAATTAAAAATTAAAAGTAGTGGCCACTGCACTCCAGCCTGGGTGACAGAGCGAGACTCCGAAAAAAAAAAAAAAAAAAAAAAAAAAAATCAATTAGTCCACATAATGCTCATTTTGTTTATCCAAGGACAGGTAGGAAGTCTACCTATTTCCAATAGCCTAATGCCTTGTCTCTGTCCTGAACTAGGACTAGAATTTCTCTACAAAGTAAACTGAGAAAATCCTCACGGTTTTTAGAGCCTTTGCTCGAGATGATCACTGTGCCCAGAATGCTTTCTGATCCATGGTTGGCTGACTGTTTCTCCATATTCAGATCGCTGCTTAAATTCACCTCCTGAGATAAGCCTTCACTGATATCACCCAATCACAGCAACTCTAAACACACTCACTAACATTCCCTGATTTAACAATCTTCATATTACTTAATACCTTCTGATATTTTTCTTTTATTAGACTTATTCACTTATGTGCTTTGCCTTTCATACCCAGTTATAATATACAGTCACGTGCTTCATAATGACATTTTAGTCAATGACAGACCACATATCTGATGGTGGTCCAACATGATTATGATGGAGCTGAAAAATTTCTATAGCCTAGTGACATCATAGCTGTCCTAATGTCACAGCACAATGCATTACTCACATGTTTGTGGTGATGCTGGTGTAAACAAACCTATTATGTTGCCAATCACATGAAAGTCTAACACATACAATTATGTACAGTACATAATACCTGAAAATGATAGTAAATGACTATATTACTGGTTTATATATTTACTATACTATAGTTTTAATCATTATTTTAGCATGTACTTCTACTTATAAAAAAAAGTTTACTGTAAAACAGCATGCCATGTTACAAGGCCAGCAGCCTCATACATCTCATGTTTACCAAGTCTCTTGATGGTATAATTTTCTCTCTGTACTTCATTTAATCTCATGTTGTTTTGCTTATCCTAGCTTCGAAGGGTACACAATCCACTGCTAATATTGCTGGTAAGAAACCACATTGAGTGGTTGGCCTGGACACAAAATTAAAAGTGATTTTAATGGGTAAATTGCATGTTGGTGGGTTATGGTATGTCACCTGGTAGTGAGCATAGTACCCAATAGTAAGCTTTTCAACCCTTGACCCTCTCCCACTCTCCTTCCTTGTAGTTCTTAATGTCTATTTTTCTCATCTTTGTGTCTTTATGTACTCAGT